TCTATTTGTCCATCCTATTACCATAGGCAAGGCCCACCTGGCTAACTAGTAGTCCCTTTTTACGGGGGTTAATGGACGAATGGAACAACTACATTCTTGGGACAACTAATGAAAAAAAAAACAGGATAGGAGTGTTGTGTGAGTCAAAGGGTCAAAATGTGAAAATAAGTGTCCCTGAGGGGGACACTGAGCAGAGCCCCCCAAGCCATACCCACCAGTCCTCAAAGGCATCTAAGGAGCTGGTGGACACTGCCCACTGGTCCTCTGCCCAGAAACATGCATGGACAAGTGAGAGGAAAGTGGCCCCACAGTCTCCAGGCCCCTTCCTGGCCAGAGACTCCTTTCTGGTCAAGTACAGGGCCCACTTGGCCAGGGCCAGGAGGAGGTTGACCAGGAAGTGACGGGACTTGGTGGAGCTGCGAATGGGGTGACCAAAAACAAAAAGGTCGGGGGTAAAATTCAACCAGAACCTCAGGAGGATGCTCTTGAGGTGGAGGTGGAGGTGGAGGGGCTACAGCCTGGCACACTCAAGGGTCATGTGCACGAGGGTCTCCATCTGCCCACAGAAGGGGCAAGAGACTGGGGTGTCTGTGAAGCTCACCACATACATGCCTGTGGTGACAGCTCCATGGAGGAGCCCCCAGCTGGGGTCCCCAGTGGCTCGTGGGATGAGGGTGGAGTACAGACTCAGCGATGGAGGTACCCCAGCCACACCCTCACCAAGTAGGTCCTGCCACTTGGTGTCTGGGCACAATGCAGGGGTGGCACGAGTGTGTAGAGGTGGCAGCGATAGACAGTGGAAAAGCGGACCCATCTCTGGAGTCCTGCCAGGACCTCAGGGGGCACAGGCAGGGTGTGTAAGTGGTGTGAAAGCATGGACAGGACTAGCTAGTTCAGCACCAGCACTCTCCCATGCAGGGAGAGACAGCCCAGAAGCTCCTGAGAACAAGTAGCCCTGAACTGCTTGCCAGGGCAGCTTTTTAATACTGCTGAGGTGGCACAGGGAAGGTTTTTATACTACTGAAGCCAGCACAGGTGTGGGTCCCAGCCTCTAGCTCCCCCTGGCTGCAGGTCCAGGAGGAGCCAGGCAGGGTTATTTTGCCCCAGGTGGCACAACTTGCCCCACACCAAAGTGCATGTCCAGGCACATGCTGTAAGGCAAAAATCCCTGGCTCAAATTTGTGCCACTCCTGTTGGAGCTATTGCAAGCGCACATGCCTGCATGTGTGGATGCGCCCAGGGTTTTGAATTTTGCTTCCTTCATGTAAAATTATGAAGTTTTCATTTCAAAATGGCTAATTACCATATTGTCTATGTTTCAGGGACAAACGTTGTAGCTGTGTTGGTCTAAAGTACAAGCAGTGTGGTAGAGGCAATATCTTCTCTTAGACTAACTAGACAGTTGCACTTTGGGTAGAAACAGAAATTGCCTTTCATTGCATTTATGGCACCATAAATGTTTTTACAGGGGCACAAAGGCCTAGCAAACAGATGTCCATGCCCCTTGTTGTACCACATATACCTAAAACTTGTTGCTGCAAAGGTGGTGTCAATTTGTGCTGCTATTTAGTGGCAGATGTCTATTTACTTAGCAGCAGGGGAGAGCAGGCAGTGTCTCTTAAGAGGAGAAATCCAGGACGACACACTATGAGCTTGAGGGGCCTGCTCCTGCATGAGAATTCCTGGGGTGTACAGGATGAAGCCTCCTCAAGAAGATCGCTGTAGTCCTGCAAGATCAATGGATGGGACAATGGGTGATGTGTTTCACTCAATGAAGCAGATCAGCTGTGCCAGGACACACCCTGGCACAGGTGATCCATTTCATTTAGCAATGTCTGTTTCTAGCCTTTGACCCCCTTCCTTCCCAGAAGCTGAGGAAATAAGCATCTCTCTGAGGTGGGGGTGCTATGGATGACCAGGAAAGTCAGGAACAAAGAATAGCCAGAGTCTCAAAACCAGAGGCTTGTCCCTCAGATACCATGCCAGGGCTGGTTGATGGAGCTTCTTTAGGAAGGAGACTGGACAAGTTTTTCTGGGGAGCCAGGGTCTCTTAGACGTTTTGAGGGCCCCGTGCCATGCTGGGCAGCGTTTGCTGCCACTTCCTGCCTGGAGCTCGTGCGATGGGCAGCAGCAGCAGCAAACACTGCCTGATGCAGCAAGCTGGGCAGGCACAGCTGATGCTACCACGGCGCAACCCCAACAGGTGAGCCCAGAGCCGGCACAGATCCCAGGCTGGCAGTGGGGGTGGGTTACAACCTGGTGCTGTGTGGGGAAAAGTGGCCCCTCCCCCACCCTGTGGCTGGCATCCTGCACTACAGCCGCTTGCAGCCTGTGTAGGACTGCCTGTGCCTGCTCCGAACAGCCCTGCTCGGGCTGTGAGCAGCTGCAGCAGGGAGTGTGGGCCACGGGGCAGAGGAGGGGCTGCTTTTCCTTCCGCGCTCAGCACCAGCTAGTCCCCTGCCCTCCCCCAACCCACCTTACCTGAGTTTCCCACTCTGGGGCAGCCACATTGGCAGTTTATGAAAAGAAATGGATGGTGGAATGGGCAGTCATATTCTACACTAGTCATGTTTTCTTGAAGTCTGGGTTTAAAGGAGCTTCTGTAGGCAGTGTGGAAAGCTTCAGGCTACCAGTGTCTGGGATACAGCTCTGTCAGATGTATAAATAAGACACCAGAGATACTGATCTAGGACTTTTTGTCAGCACAGAATTCACTAAATGAAGAGAGAAAATTAATTCTTCTTTCATGTATCAATAATCAATAGGAAGGAAATTGCATGTGGTCTTCCTAATCTTTTAATTACAGCATTCCCTCTTATAGCCTCCATAGAAAGCTTTATTAACAGCCTGCCTTCCTACTTTATCTACTACTATCTCTCATAAATACTTTGAACTCTATGGGTGTGTTGAACCATCCATCCTTATCTAACAGATTTCCATCCCAGTATTCAAGGCATTAAATATTATTCAAATAAAGCAACTTTTATACAAACAAGTTTAGTCTTTAGTTGGTCGTGACAGTGTTACCTGTCAGCTCTGTGTTCTTGGGGAACCCTAGCACAGTAGACAGCCTGTGTGACTCACAAAGGACTCACCCCAGCCCCCCGCCCCAACTTCTGCCTGAACAGAAACTGATTAGAGCAGAGGTGGGCAAAATACAGTCTGCAGGCCGGATCCAGCCCATGAGGCCATTCTATCCAGGCCATGGCCCCCCCCCCAATTTAGAAAATTTAAATTTATGTGTCCTTAGTTCCTGTCAAAGATGACAGGAACCAAGGGCAGTAGGACCCAGGGGAAGCCTTGGAAAGCTCCTGCAACAGCAGGTCCCGCCCAGCCCTGCCCCACCAGCCATGTGGCTGCCCCAGAGTGGGAAACTTAG